CATTTTTTTGGCGTTTTTGGGGGACCTATAAAAAATACTTAATATTATGAAATGGTTTAATAAACAATTGGGAATCTCCCGAAGAGAAACAAAGTTTTCCGGTGGAAAAGATTTTCAAGGATTCTGTACCAATATCTTCGACAGGACCCCGTACACAATGCTTCGAAGGCCTACTACGCGGTAATTGTCGCAAATCGAGGAATATCCTTTCTTGTAGATTGTAAAAAGTACAGTGGCTTTCCAATCTTCGGGCATATATTCAATAGACAAAGTTCCGTTTAATAGCTGGTACATACTTCCTATCAGTTCTTCGCCGCCGGCTCTGAACACTCAGCCGGTAAACTGTCGGCTCAGGGCACCATGTTGTTCTTAAGCCGCCTTATTGCTGTTCTCCCTCGTTTTGGTCGATTGGAGAGACATTCGCTTCGTCACTATATATTGGTTCGGATTCTTCTTCATAAAATGCGTAACTTGTATCGCCAATCAAAAGCATTTCCTCCATATTCAAGTCTAATAATGCAAGGCTTGTTTGGTCTTTTCAGTGGTCATTATTTTTAAGTGGCGAGTTCCAAGCCCAGCTCAAAACCCATTACTTAGGGTATACCTTATCACATTTGCTCGCTTCCAAACGAGTAATCGGCTGCCAACCAGAGGATATGTACTTGGTGTAGACCGGGAGCTGTCTACCGGATGCAAAAGATTCGTTTCTGGCCACTCCCTGGTTAGTGGAGATCAAAAACTTTAGAATTATTCTCCAAGTACTAGTTAGTTTATATAATATAATTATAATAACACTTATTGGGGCTGGTGGCAAACAACTTTTTTTTTTATAATACATACATACAAATGTGTGAAAAACCAGTTGAGAAAAGGATTCTTTAGCGTCATGTGTGTAAGTAAATCTGAAGCTTGAGTAAACAAAATGAATTTTAGCTGAGAGTTATAATTATCCTTAAAATGGTGTGCATACATAAAATTTATGTACTATAAGCATGAATGCCTTATTTGTTTGCATGTAGGCACCCGTAGGTACCCTGCAGGGAAAACCCGAACTAGTTAAGAAAATGTCTAGTGCAGTAATAGTTCTTTATCGCAAAAAAAAAACGAACCAGTCTTATAGTAACTCGATTCTCACCAGTCCAAAAGCAGCCAAGTGGGGACTTTTACATAAATATTTTATAAACATTCTTAAAACTACATATGGTTTTTTTTTAAATATATATTTTGGTGCAAGAAGCAGAACAATTAAAAATGAATAGCTCTCTAAAAGATTGAACTACCTAGAACACATTTTATTTCTAGCCGTTGCCATTCGGTGATACGCAAATTTATTAGTTGCGATCCCGTATGAGTCCGGACTAGTCAGAAATAGTCAGAATCAGTCAGATTTTACTGGAAATCGATCCCGTACTCGGTTCTCTGACTATTGAGAGGACAAAAAAGAGAGTAAATACGGTTCTCTCTCTGTCAGAAGTTACCAGTTTTAGTCCGAGAATTTTTTGCTGGTAAATGTGTCAAACGATCAGCTGTAGTGTGTTTGGCAACCAAATTGTAAACAAAAGAAAAGTGCACTCTGCTAATTCATGTTGAAAAGTATTTAATCAATGGGGGATCCGTAAAAATCGTTAGTATTAAAAAATGGTGAAATAAACAATTATGTAGGTATTATTATTGGAAGCCTCGTGAAGACAAACAGAGTTTTCCGGTCGCAAAATTTTAATTTTCAAGAGTTTCTACGAAAATTTGTTTTTCCCATATAAAATACATAGAAAAATTTGAGCACTTTGAGTGACCTCTAAATATTTTTTAATTTCAAAATAAAAAATATGGGTGTGTTTTTTCGATACATAACAATCCTAGGGGGTGAGAGCATTAAAATTCCGACTTTACTTTTCTTGGGCCACCCTAATGTACATATACGCTTCTCTTCATAAAATTTTGATGAAAATTGTGCCCTTACAAATGACATTAGTGCAGATTAACAAACCGTGGGGTAGTGGGTTCGAGTCCCACGACCAGTAGAATTTTCATCAGCTAAAAAAAAATTAATAATGTGAAAAATAAAAATTGAAAAATAAAATATATCTGTAAATCAAATAAAATAAATTAAAAAGGCTGCTACTAGGGTGTTCGACTACACTTTAGGGAGGCTAAAATGACGCAAAAAACGCCGTTACACGTGAATTTAACTTTGGATCGTAGATTATGGATACGTACACCATTTTTCTAGATCGGATCATATTCACAAGATATTTTTATTTTAAGTTTGCAATGCGAACGAAGTAAATTCAAACTTTAAGGGCCGATTGCTCAAAGTCCGGTTAACACAAATCGCAGGTAAAGCTGCGGTTAAAACAACGACTGCTTTATCGACCACAAGTTGTATGCATAATGTCGAAAACATGTGATCGATAAAGCAGTCGTTGTATTTAATCGGAGCTTCTACCTCCGATTTGTGCTCATCAGACATTCAAAAACCGGCCCTTAAAATGGAAAAGGTTACTCATACGCCATATGCGATAATCTACGAGGTCAGCTATGTACGATATGGCGTATGAGTAACATTATTTCCTACTCTTATTTTANTGTTACTCATACGCCATATGCGATAATCTATGAGCTCAGGCTATGTACGATATGGCGTATGAGTAACATTATTTCCTACTCTTATTTTATGCAAGAAAATATTGACGTTTTCATTTGACCATTCGAAACCTGTTTATTTATCCATCGATTTTCATCGTTCATGATTTTTTGGAAAAGCGAATTACAAACGTTATTTTTATTTGTTTCGTTAAGTGATTTTTTTTCTTAAAAATTTATATATCTTTGAAAAATTACCTGATCTAGAAACAGTATAAAATTAGGTTCACGTGTTTCGGCGTTTTTTAAGCCGTTTCAAAATTTGAGATTTTCCCCAACAGTGTTATTCCACTTTTTCCAAAAAAGGTTTTCGAGTTATCGAAACAAGGCATTTATTTTATAATGTATATATATTATAACAAAGTGTTTATTTTAAATGCTGCTGGCTTGTGCGTAACATATGCGTGACGTGGAAAAGTTTTCCAAGACCAAAATTTAAAAAAATCCTCGAAAATCATACCTCAAAATAAAGTCCAATGGGCTATAAAACTGCATATCGAAAGAAGGTATATTTTTATAAAAAAAAAACGAGAACAATTTATTAAAAAACATGGTAAGTATTGTAAAATAAATCACCATGTGATCTAAAACAAAAACTATTTTCATTGTAATTTAGATATTTTTTTTACAAATTTTTTATTAACAAAATTATTTTCAAATAAAACATATTCATGGCAATTTCAATTTCAAGCAAAGAAAAAAATGCAGACAGAGATATTAGCCGTTCAGTGCACACATAGATTAACTTCATCAACAAAAGGTTAGGAGATGCGATCAAATAATGTAATTAATTTTTAAAATTCCGTTTATATTATATAATCAAATAAAAAATGTTGTTATAAATATCATGTACTATTTGTTACATGAAGTTATTATAAACTTAATAAGTTATGACTATACCAAGTGCTTTGACACTTAAATGTAAGATTTTTCAAAAAGTGGAGTTAGTCGATGTGTGCACTCAACGGCTCATATCTCAGTGGCTTTTTAATACATTCACCGCTTAACCTAATCTAATGTGCTAATTTTTTCTTTTAATATATCTCAAGTTTTTTAATTATTTACGTTTTATGCCACTTAGAGACTTCATACCAGCTATAGTTGGCACCTTAGATGCAGCTTTCTTCGCCTCTTCAATGGCCATTATCATTCGCCGAGGTTCTGTTAAAAACCACATCCATAACAACTGACTGTAGCGCCAAAGCTTATCTTTCTCCTAGTAAGGGCGCCAAAAATTAAAAATTAAAAAAATATATTCATATGTACATATATGTATGTACATTCAAATCTTTTATCCTTATAACACAAGTATTTTATTATTCTTACAATTCTTTCGGTAATGTTTTCTTGAAATTGTGTACGCAAATACCGTAGTGTTTTGTCTATGCGCTCCTGATTGGTTTTTGCATTATAAATAGGCATTAAAAAACGTACATGCTCAAACATCGGCACCTCCACTGGACTATCATATACCATTGGGCGTAGTAGCCGTTCAATGCGTTCCCTGTTAAAAATATAGAATAATAAAAATGGTAGACTTAAACTAAATTTATTATCGCTCTTACAATTCGTCCATTTGCGTCAAAGCGTGTGTGTACGCTTTGCAACTGATCATGCCATTCTTTGCATACGACAATAACCGAAGGAATTTCTCAAATTCATAGAGACATGACTTCGCCTCACTGCGAACTTTCTGTCCTAAATGTCGTGTTAACTGCTCAGCAATAGAGTCCAGTAGTGAGGCAGCAGATGTACTGGTAATTCCTCCACCTTGTACCATAAGCGGCATATTATTATATTGAATGGAACGCATAAATTTAATGCGTCTGCAGCAAGATTCTGTTTCGCTACTTAATTGATCAGTATTAATAAAACGATTTCGTTTACGTTCTAAATCTAATTGTATTGCGATCCAAACAAGTTCAGCATTAGATAAAGCATCCGAAATCATTTTAGATAATCGCTTGTCGGTCTCGTGGCGCTTTAATGCACGCTCCAATTTTAATTTCGTATTTTCATACAGTATCAATTCCATTCGCTGTTGAGTGTGATGCCGCACATGTAAAGTGAGATCGTTCAGTAGAGTTTCATTTGCTATTTTTAAGTGATGATCATTCATCATTTCCAGTTCACGAGTCTCATGATCCATGTCAGCCAGGCTGATTACATGTATTTGTGAGAGATCTAGGAGATCAATTAACGATTGCGTTGCTTTGGCCTTAGCCTTTTCTTTAATGTATTCAAGAGTGTAGTACTCCATGCTTTAGATGGAAATAAAATATTTGTGTAAACATACATAAAGATTTAAAAATAAATAAATCAATAATTTTTAATTCTTACGACTTAGCCAAAGACTGAAGTTTGTCAGAGAATTCGGAATGGTCGACAGTGGTATTATCCAATTCAGCATAATCCTGCACAAATAGCTCAATATTCATTAAACAAATTTTTCATGTGTAATTTTGCAGTTACATACTTGAATTTTAAAGTTTTCCTTCATATATAAAGTGAAATATTGCAAGAAAGTATCACATTTAAGCAAGTACTGGTCTATAGGCAGTTGATGTATGAATAAGGGCGGCGATTGCTGCAAACAGTGAGGCAATGATTTAAAACAAATGTTATTTCAATGTAGGCACGCTTACAATTTTGCTAAAACATCGGGTAGCTTCATTCGACAGCTTATAGTTTTCACGTTGTGCTTCTTCCAGCTGCCGTGTTTTCTTCTGACATTCTGTTAGTAGTTCATTTTCTCTGTTGACCAGTACGCTAATTTCATTTTCCAAATCTCCTAGTTCAGAATTTATTTTGATCTTGGTGCATCTAACAAAAATATTATATTAGAATGCCAAAAATGTAGTATTTTTATGATTAAAAAAACCTCATATCCTCAACGAGCGTTGCATAGTTGTCCTCGGTCTGTTCTAGCAACCGCAACTCATCCGTCAAATTCTTTACTTGATCTTCTGTGTATTGTAGGAGTCCAGGATTTGAGTTTTCTAGTTCTTCCAGTTTTGTAGTACGTTCGCCGGCTTCCAGCAATTCGTCCCTTTGTTGTAGCTCATCAAACTCTAAAACTTCGCGTTCAGTTAATATGTTTACATCTGCGATATTTTCCGTGAAAAAATTAAAGAACTTTTGGAACCGATCATCATACAGTATCCATTGATTGGCACAATCAAAGCCCAATTTTTTGAATACGTCGAAGTGCTATGTTTGAAGAGTAATAAAATGTCGTTTCCATTTCAGCAAAGTATTAGCTTATATACTCACATTTATTAAATCGCCCATTGGTTTACCAAATTAGAGAAAACTTATCTGAATGTTATAGTTGAATTTGCAAGATTTTAAATCAAACTTGACTTTTCGCGCTTCTTCTTATTTTTTGCGATCACATAAAAAAGTAGTGCCAGTTGACAGTAAGCAAACAGCCGATGCTCCCTTTTCCAACAGGGTGCACAATACACCCACTAATACAATAACCACCCTCGCATTGACCTGGCAAAAGTTTTGCCAACCAACAGCCATTTTTATTGCCTGGTAAAAATTTTATCAGAGGTAATATTTGTGCGTGGACATTGTTAAGATGGCTATTTTTGCCTGATTTCATCACTTAAAAAAATTTCAAAAATATGCTATTTCACACCCAACCAAACAATAACAAATATTTTAATAGAAAAGAGCTCAATTTTTGCTTTTAAATTTAAATATCAATAATGTTGTCTCCACGCAGCTATTACGCAAACGAAAATGTATCTGTCAAAGTACCAAATTGCTGGAAATATTTCTCAAGATAAAAGCTCTGATAATTATTGCTTGCCAAGAGCAATATGCGGTCTTCATTCGCAAAATTTTGCCTGATAACATTATCAAGATAAAAACTTTTGCCTGTGGAGACAGCAAGTAATATATATATTAACAAAGTGCTGACGTCGGTTCGGTCGCCTTTTCCCCATCTAAGTTTTGTTTCAGTCTAGTTAATTTAGTAAATGCGCTGTAAAATAAATAAAATTTATAACTTTCAAGTTAACATTGCGAAATGAGTCATCAAAAGTCATCGTCAGCAATGAAAAATTGCCATTATTATTGAGCTTTAGCATTAGGCCTATAATGTTTTGGAAGCACTGGTAATTTTTCAGAGTTGAGAAATTCGGATCATTTCTTTAAATTGGCAACATTGTTTGCCGCTGGAATGACAATACAATTTTGTAGCAGTCAACTGCTTGCCAAAAGAAGTGATTATTATAATTAAAACAGCAAAATGGTGAGTGCATTTTTGTAAATTTATTTCTGCATATCAAAAATGAGTGCACCCCTCAAATGCACAATTTGGTAATCCTTACATATTCAATTTGAAGGCACGTCGTTATGATTCGCGGACAACTATTTTTTCGCCGGAAGGTCGATTGTACCAGGTGGAGTATGCCATGGAGGCTATTTCCCGTGCTGGTGCCGCTTTAGGTATACGCGCAAAAGATGGCATTGTTATAGCGGCAGAATGTCACACAACAAGCCCATTACTCGACAACGATATTTTCCAGGATAAAATATACAAAATTAATGAGTAAGTAAAAAGGTTAAAAAATAGTTAAAAACTTTTAGTTTACCAATAATTACAGTCACATCTGTGTCGCCGTTGCGGGTATCACATCAGATGCTAATGTTTTGGTTAACGAGATGCGTTTAATAGCACAGCGCTACAAGTATAACTACGGGGAACCAATACCGGTTGAACAACTGGTGTCACATTTGTGTGACATTAAACAAGCGTACACACAATATGGTGGCAAACGACCATTTGGTGTGTCTATCCTTTACATGGGATACGACAGGCGTCACGATTTTCAACTATACCAGTCGGATCCCAGTGGTAATTACAGTGGCTGGAATGGAACCTGCATTGGCAAAAGCTTTGGTGTAGCTATGTCCATGTTGAAAACAGAACTAGCTAATCGGTATAAAATACATATATATATTACCATTGCCGAGTTCTTAAGCTAATATTTAATTAATTTATGTTAATAGTTATGATACCTCTGAAAACCCTCTTACGACGGAAGAAGCGAAGAAGATCGCCATAAAAATCCTGGCTAAATGCATGGAAGGCATTAATTCCGAAAAGGTTGAAATGGCAGTCACTAACATAGATAGTAATAAGCAACCCATAATTAAAATGGTGCAAAAAGAAGAAATTGAAAGATTGATAACTGAGCACAATCAAGAAGAAGAGGAAAAGAAAGCGGCAACATCGGGGACGAACTAGAGTTGAACTTAATTAAGTTTTCTACATAATATTTTTGGTTTGGTTTCTTAAAGTAACCGAATTGTCAAATAACAGCTTTTTCACATAAATTAATATTTGGTGAGATATCTTACAATACTAGTATACATAATTTGATTACTTCTGGCACGATTTAACCATATATGTAATACTTCTATATTGATAGTAAGCTAACATCTCAAT